AGAGAGAGAGAGAGAGAGAGAGAGAGAGAGAGAGAGAGAGAGAGAGAGAGAGAGATCGTACATGGCACGGCATTGCACGCTTGGATACACGATGGATCGAGGAGATCGACTTGATCTGTTATCGTTTGCCTGTCTCGAGACTCTGATGTAGACAAATTGAACGTTGAATGTTAGGTAGAAATGCCAATACCCGGACGTGCACCTAACCCCAGATATTTTTATTGTTTGGTCTTTAAATACGAATATTTAAACTTACATCGTGGAGTAATATATATATATACTTAATATACATATATATATTTTACGTTGAAAGCTTAAATAATCGTATATAAAAGGAACATAATCCTGAACATTCTTATTATTTTAGTTTCTAAATACAATTATTTAAACTTTTAACATATAATATATGTGTTCAATATACTATTGTTCAATATATATATTTTTTTAAGTTAAAAGTTTAAATAATTGTGTTTAAAAAGACCATAATCTTGGATATCATTATTTTGCTCTTTAAATACGATTATTTAAATTTCTAAGACACAGTATATTTATATATTCAATATATATGTATATATTTTGTGTTAGATGTTTAAATATTCGTATTTAAAGGCCAAAATCATAATAATATCCAGCATTAGACACGTGTTCGGGTATTGGTGCTTTTATTTAACCGTGCCTTAGGTCGGTATTCATAGTTCGATCTTATATTTAAAATCATCTTAAGTACCGTCTTAAGATGTCATGAACCAATCACAGAGCCGTATTACGAGCATCTTAAGACGTTACTTAAGACGGTCTTGAAGTAAGATTCGACTGTGAATACCGGCCTTAGTCGCGAGGAAGAAAAAGAAAATGAATAGCATCATTTCTACGGGATTATACTTGATTGGAGCAGGATTGTGCGCGTTCCCTAATAATTTCGGTTGCGTACACTGAAGAAAAGTTTTGTAATAGTTAACAAATGCATTCGGTGGAGCGTTTCGGTGCAATATTAAGTAATTAGTATTGAATATGATAATAATTACGAACCGTCTGGTAATAATAATTACTAAATAATTAGTAAAACAATTCTTCGTTGAATCCGTCAAATAATTTGCTAAATAATTCCAGATAATTTGACAATAATTGCTAAATACCTCGACTATTATCAAAGCATTTAGTCATTTACCACATAATGCGATATGCATGACTAAACAGTATGGTTTTATTTGACGAATTGTCTGATGATACACAAATTGGTAGTCTCGCTAAAGTTGTCTGTTGATACTTACCAAATTACTTGATTACATTCACCTGCACATTTATTTGAAATTGTTTCACCGAAGCAGCTGGTAACTTGATGGTTATTACTGGACCTTTTTTCAGTGTAGTAAATATCTGAAGATATTTTCTTTATGCGCGAGATCGCGGATCTCGGATCGAGTCGTCCTCCACAACGAAACAACAACGCGCAAAACGCGAGAGCGTTTGCGAAGCTCGGTGAGATTCGAGTCGGTCTGCGATCGTATCGTGAGAGAATTCACTACGGTGGCCTGAACATACCTGCGCTTCGAGAGGGAGAGAGACTTTCGGGACAGAGTCGGGTAGAATCGAGTCGAAGCGAGCCGAGATTCGAGTAGCCGCGGTTTTCGGGTGTCCGCACATCCCCGAATAAAAGTAATGATCCGTTAAAGCTAACGTCGGTGGCAAGTATCGCCCGGATCGCCGACACTTCGCGACGCGTCGCGCGATCGGGCGGAAGTGGCGCGATTCTTACAAACGCCGAATTCTTAGATGTCATAAGTTATCTCGTCGAAGCGATGGGAAGGTATGCAGTAGCCGCTGTAAGTCTTGATCTCTAGGACGCCGGCGTAGGATCTCGCCGGTAAGGAGCCGGGATCCGTGTGTCGTCTGGGGCATCGGTGTCCTCCAGGACATTGGCAGAGGGGCGAGGCGTTCACTTCCTCGAGCTGCGAGTTTCGTCTTTTGCGCACGGTGAACAGGCGACAGGGCTCCTTGTGTTGGCAGCGTAATCTCTGTAACCGGATAACAGATTCGCGATAGACACACACACACACACGCGCGCGCACACACTTCCCGTTACTACGGCACCAGTTGTATTTCATAATTGGCCGCAGTTATGCAAGAACAATCCAACCCATATCGAGTGTGTTTCGAGATGATGACAAATCATTTTTTAAGTTTCATCTTTTCTCAGTCTGTACGAGCGAATCCGATCTTTTAGAGCAAATTTATTCCTGTGAAGCATACTCGGTTGTTAAGCCGCGTTCATGTTCTTTTTATCGAATAAAATTGCAACGATTCATGTCAAAATTGAGAGTCACTGCTGATATGTATGCGCAGTAATCGGTTATCAATATGTAAAGATTACTTTTTGAAATAATCTCCTTTTAATTTAATATAATTTCATTTAATTTAAATAAATTCTTGCCTCTAAATTTCAGTGAGGAAGAAATATTTGAAAATTTATCTTTGGGGGCACAAGCTTATTTCAGAGATAAACTTTCGCAGAAATAAACTTTACATTCCACAAATAAATTTTCAAGCATTTTTTTCTCAATGTTTACAAATGCCACATTGTGTACTGTCACTTGGATTCCTGTCATAACCGATTATACATCAACAGCGGCTTTCAATTCTGACAACTTAAGGCATCGCAACCTCACTTGGTTAAAAGTGTGCAAATCGAGTGTACATGAAAATGAAGATGAAAATTTGATACGTCATTTAATGTGTTATAGACGATGCTAAGCAATCGTTCAAGAAACGGTCAATTTTTTTCTCTTTGAGGATATTCATTAAATAGCTTAACCTTAAAAAAAACGCAATTAGTAAAAAATAAAGACTGTTTTTAGGTCATTGTTTTGGACTTGGATCTTCTTGGTTTTACGTGAAAAGACGTATGGACTATATATTGGTAATAGAAACTCGAAAATCATAATTTTATGAGTTGGGGATTATTCTTACATGACTATGGCTAGTTGCAATGAGAAAGAGAGAGAGACTTGAAAAATTTATTTGTGGGATTTAAACTTTGTTTTTTTTTACACAAATAATAATTAATAATAGTTAAAGTTTATTTCTGTGAATAGATTTTGTACCCACAAATAAAAACTTTCAAGTATATTTATTATATGAAATAAGAAGCGAAATTCTCCAATTCCGTAAGATTAGTAATTCGGACGATTAAAATGAACATCGACTCGGTATCTTTCTAGACATTTAACGACACTTTTTTAGGTTTTCTATTTTGCTTTTAATACTCAAGCTTCTTACGAGGATTAAGTAGGAAGATGATAAATCTTTTGCACCAATCTAATAGATAACGAATTACAGTTAGCACGTTGATCTCGAGAATTACAGTTAGTACGTTAATCTTGAGAACATTTTGGAAACCAGGTCTCAGAGTAAAAGGCAAGCGCGTGCTTCTGCTTTTCCTTTTTCGCGCGATTTATTGTGCTTCATCGATCGACTTACGCTTTGCGGAGAGCAGGCGAAGGAGTAGATGAAACCTTGATTTCCATCTGATGATTTGTGAGGTTGCCTTCGCACCAGGTACGGGACGCTACCTGGCCGACATCGGCAGTGAACTCGTTGCACCGTCGCGTTTCCCGGGCCACCTCCGGGTGCGAGTGTCCATGTAATGTCTCTGTGCCAATGTAAAAGGTCAAGATGTTGAAATCGGGACGCGTGTCAGATTAAGAAGGAAACATTAGAGATTCGCGAATGAAGGCTTGACTTTTTCTCTCTTCTTCCTTTATCACTCTCTACATTTCTTGAAGTGAAATCTTATTCAAAACATGTGAAAGTTCACTCAGAGTGAAAATGCTGTCACTCGGTGAATGTTTGACTCAGAGTGAGGATTAATCCACGCTGAGAAAAGGATACTTGAACATTTACAACCGCGGAATATGAAGTTTGCTCTCAGAAATAAACTCTATCTCAGAAATAATTTTTTAAGTTTTATCTTTTCTCAGTCTAGTGAATTCGATTTCTTTTAGAGCAAATTTGTTCCTGTGGAGCATACTCGGTTGTTAAGCCGCGTTCATGTTCTTTTTATCGAATAAAATTGCAACGATTCATGTCAGAATTGAGAGTCACTGCTGATATGTATGCGCAGTAATCGGTTATAAATATATAAAAATTACTTTTCGAAATAATCTCCTTTTAATTTAATATAATTTAATTTAAATAAATTCTTCCCTCCAAATTTCAGTGAGAAAGAAATATTTGAAAATTTATCTTTGGGAGCAAAAGCTTATTTCAGAAATAAACTTTCGCAGAAATAAACTTTACATTCCACAAATAAATTTCCAAGCATTTTTTTCTCAATGTTTACAAATGCCACACTGTGTACTGTCACTTAGATTCCTGTCATAGCTGATTATACATCAACAGCGGCTTCCAATTCTGACAACTTAAGGCGCCGCAACCTCACTTGATTAAAAGTGTGCAAACCGAGTGTACATGAGATTCGCTCTTGAATTTCGAATGAAAGTACTCGCTTGACTACAAAATCGACCACACTCGAATTTGTGTGGATTTACTCTCGAAGGAATGTAGAGAGCACAGTAGAAAGAACGATCATATGGACATCGAGAGAGTCGAACAGAGATCGAATGGAGATCTAGGGACGCGAGAGCAAAGTCGAATTCGACGAATAGAATCGGATAGGATCGACAGAGGCGTGTCGTGGTCCAACTAACTTGAAGTAACGACAGATGGGAAGTCGTTTCGCAGGTTCGCAGAGCTTGTACCGCCGCGTTTTATCGACGATCGTGTGTCCGTCGTCCCCGTAAAGACTGCTGGGACAGGCACGGCCGTTCGGACAACGACATTGTCTCTCGACCCACGGTGCACCATATAAATCCACCTTGCTACATACCTCGCTTTGGTCCGCGCACTCCGGCAATTCCTTTTCGCTATCCTGCGCAAACAAGCAAGTCGCAAGTCGTTTAATAATGCGATGCGCGATTGCCGCGTACGTCGCGTCAGCCGAACGAAGTCACGTCTCCGTCGTCTCGACTGGTCGCGAATAAACAATTCGAATTTCAGCGAAATTTCAGCGCGCGTCCGATTAATGCACGCCTGCGGAAAAACGGCGTGTCCTTACCGCGAGATTGGTCTGCCACCGGCAGCAAAGTTACGTCAATATCGTCGAAACGATTGAAACACCTGGGAATTAAAGCCATCACGGAGAAAAATAATTTTGCTCTTTTAGCAAAATCGTCCTTGCTGCTGCATTCGTAGTGACATCAAAAAAATTTAGTTGATGTAACTAATTTTACGAAGTATTCGTTATCAGAGCAGAAGTAGTTTCGTTGCCAGGATAGAAAAAATTTGTTGAGTGTATCTGTCCTAAGAATCACATTAATTTGCTGTTGATGCAAAATAATGTAGCCTTAGCAAATTATTTGATATCGGAGCAAAACTGCAACTGCTTATATAAATCCATCATGGTTCTTATAGCAAAATAACTCGTAGATTCAACAAATTATATCCAGCAAATTGTGATTAGTACTCTTAGCAAATCTTTTTACTGTCCATATAATAATGAAAAGATTTTGCTAGACCAGCAGAAAATTTGCTGGGCCAGCAAATTATTCTTCTCCGTGATTGAGACCTGTATTAATAGTAGAGTTGCGAATCAAAGATTTTTTTATATCGAATCAAATCTCAGATTTTAATTTCGAAATCGAATCGATGAAATTTCATCCAAATCGAATCGAATCGTTGAAAGAATTTTTACTAACATAATTATTGAATTCAACATGAAAATAGTGACTTCAGTATGAGAGAAACATTGATCATATGATATCAATTCATTTTATAAGGTAAAAAATATATAATATATTCCAGCCTTGAAAACTGCGCGATGACACGTATCGATCCGACAGTTGTCGGTAAGAGTTTATCTAGAAGCCATTATTTTCTTTCAATATTTTTTGAGAAAATCCTAATGTATAGCAAACTTTTCAAGTCATGCTAATTCCCGTAAGGCTGGATGTCTTTAATTAACTTCGTTAATGCTAATGTGCGCGATCCGTATTCGAATCTTTTCGATTCGAAACTTTCGAATTATTCGGATTCGAATTTCACTTGATTCGATTCGAATAGTTCGCACATCTCTGATTAATAGTCATTAATTGAAACTTGAACGCGCGTGAGATTTTTCTGTCTCGTTCTCTTATTACTCTCCACATTTTTTTAGGTGAAATCTCACTCAAAATAAACGAAAGTTCACTTACAGCGGAAACATCATCATTTAGTATCGAGAATAAATGTTTAGCTCAAATTTCAAGTGAATTCTTATTAATCTATACTAGTACGAATATTTCAATCAATTCGAGTGAATTTGTTCCAGTAGCACACAGTGAAATAGACACTAACAATAGCAGATTCATTCTTATATTTAGAATAAAAATATTCACTTGCGACCAGTCAAAGTACAAAATTCAGAAGAAAAGTCAAGTGAGACTGCTTGTCGAATGGACTTGGAGTTAGATTTGAGTTCTTTAGTTAAATTATATATTACATTTGTAATTGTAGTTTAGCTGAAAACACACCTAATTCTAAATTGAAATCTAAAAATCTCACTTGAGACAAGTAATGACTATTATATATAATTAAAAGTTAATATGACTCTTTATTGAATCGCACGATTTTTAACAGGCTAATTGATCATTTTTAAACGCTTCTCATTCGGAAGCTACACGGAAAAAAAGGTTTGGTTAAATTAACTAAATATCTGATCGAATATGAACGATCCAGAAATTCCGATTAAAGTAACCCGAATTCTGTTTAAGTCAACCAAATATCTTGTTAACTTAAACAGAATTCGAGTTACTTCAATCGGAATTTCTGGATCGTTTATAATCGACCAGATATTTGGTTATTTCAACCTAATTTTTTTTCCGTGTATCATAATTTCGATATTTTTATATAAAGATCTTTGTCTCAAAATATTCTCAGAAGTCATGATTTAGCTGAAAACTCACATCTAACCCTAAATTGAAATCTGAGTATCTCAATTGAGGCACATTTTAAGATTAATGGCTATTAGTATAAGTCTATGACTCTTCGCATAAATGCGTGAATTTTTTACAGACTGATTCATCATTTTTAAACGTTTTTTGTAAACTATCATAGCCTCGACATTTTCATTATACGATCTTCGTCTCAAAATTTACTCAGAAGTCGTGATTTAGCTGAAGAACTCACTCACTAAATTATAATTTGAGTATCTTATATGAGACAGGTTTCAAGTAATGATAAATATAGACTATAAATATTGATCTATAGTCTATATTAATAGTCATTACTTAAAACTTGTCTCACGTGAGATATTCAAATACGAATTTAAAGTTAGATTTGAATTTTTTTTATTTGAATTGCATGACATTACGTTCGCAGTTGCGCGATTTAGCTGAAAAGTTTACATCTAATTTTCTAAATTGAAATCTGAGTATCATCTCTAAGGCAAGTTTCAAGTAACGATTACAGATAGAGTCTGTGACTCTTCACTGAATCGTGTATGAACACGTGAATTTTTGACAGGCTGATTGATCATTTTTAAATGCTTCTCACTTGAAAAGTCGACAATTTTATACGAGGACTTTCGTCTTAAGGCTCCTAGTATTGTCTATCTCTTTTTAACGACGTCAGAAGCGAGAAAATGCATGCTAAAAATTCTTGCGAAATACGTTGAAATAAAAATACATATCCATAAAGTAACACTTGCAATCGATTAAATAAATTTGCAAGATATTCCGTGCAGTTTTCTTTTGTTCTAACAATCAATAACTTATTATAAATAACTTAATAAAAATAGGCGAAGAAATGGGTTAAGAAGATGAATTGTACGTACATTAATTTACGACAAATTATTGATTGTTAGAACAAAAGGGAAGTGTACGGAATATCTTACAAATTTGTTTAATCGATTGCAAGTGTCATTTTGTGGGTATATATTTTTTATTTTAACGTATTTTGCGAGAATTTTTAACATGCATTTTCTCGCTTCTACACGCAAAAAAATGATTTAGTAATATCAACTAAACCGCGGTAGCTGATTCAAACTTAATCAAAAGGCTAATCGTTTAGCTGTCACTGTTAAGAATTGGCTACGACAGCTAAGATGCATTCGTTATGAAGTACAAATATATTAGGTGTCATTAAAAATGCACATTATTTTAAGTAGCTAAGAAAATGGCAGTTATTCCTAAATTTTTTATCGTATGCATACACTGAGAGAAAAGACTGGTAACTATAACAAACTGCATTTAGTTACAGAAATTCATTGAATCCTTAGTAACTAATACTAAATATGATAATAATTACCAAATATTTAATAGATCGGGAGTATGACGTAATTGCATTCACAGTAACATCAATTAAATAATTTAGTAATAGTTACTTAATGTTAAATATTTAATATAAAATATATTACAGTTATGAACAGATATTTGATAATTGTTATGAAATCGTTATATCCCATATAATAAAAAATTCAGTAGGTACGAGTTCTATTTTGTTACCAGTATAAGTATGTTTTGTTGCAGCACAACGAAAAATTTATTCATTTGCAGCTATTACATCGTTTCAATATCTATTATTACAGATAGTTGGTTGAACCTATCAAAAATTTTGTAACTATTACAAAATCGCTTATTTCTGCTCAACTATTCAATAAGTTTTATTTACCAAATATATTCTGGAAGCAAATAAATTTTACTTCTGTCAAATAAAAAATTTATTTTACAGAACTAAATTAATTAATAAGTATTGCCATAGCTTTGGCCCGCTATATTTAAGTCTATTATTTAGTAACAGTAACCAAATTTTGATAATATTTACTAAATTCTTCTCAGTGTATATTAAAGAAGTTTGCCGTACAGCTACAATCATTTGTTACAGTCATTTCTACAGTCAGTACATTTATTTCTAGCAGCTAATATTTCTCGCTGCAGCGTTTAACAGCGAATAAATTTAGCTTCGGTAGTATCAACATTAGCTGTCCCTATTTCAGTGACACATCTTATCTGCCACAGCTATTTTTTAGCTCTGGAAGTTAGTTCTTTTTTTGCGTGTAACGTCATTTAAAAGAGATAGGCAATGCGAGGGGCCAGAAGCCTTAAAGTGCCCTCAGGAATCTGCCATTCACGGGGGTAACGACGGGACACCTTGTACACATCTCGATTCGAAATGTACGATCCGCTCGATGCGTCTCGAAGCGATAACAGAACCATTACGGTGGAACGATTAAGGTCGCGGTAATTGTACCGTTGCGTAATAATAAACATCCCGGTGTGTGTCACGCCGCGCGCGCGCGCGCGCGCGGGGCGCGGGGGCCGCGGGTTGTTGATGAAATAAACGAGACGATTGCGCACAGACTCGTAACTAAAGTATATATCCGCTCTTTCTGCCGACGATACAAAGTCTGCTGTAACTGGACTATTTAGATGTTGCCAGTCCATTCATTGAGGCAATCGCGTACGTCCTGTCCGGCTATCGTCATCGACAACGTCGACCGCTACCGTAAGGCGACCACGGAAATCGCGAAATCTCTGTTGCGCACATCGTCCGGGCCTCGGCTTCCTCCCCGCCTGATGGTCGCGCCTCGATTTTGCATTCGGACCGTTTGATGGATCGCGCGTTTGAACGGTTAACGGTTATCGGCCCGGCGAAACATTCGCGCCACGATGAATTTACAGCAATCGCGCAGCCCCGTTGTGGTCGCCGCTGCGGCGACCACAAGTGCTTTTGCCCGTCGATCAGCCGCTTCCACGAAGGCTTCCACGAGGCGGCTTCAATCGCGCGCGGCGGTGGTGGCGGCGGCGGCTTGCTCTCTGGCCGCGGATATTGCAGATTTCGAAAAATGGTGCGCGCGTCAGCCAGTCACGCGCGCACATTCTGTTAACGCGCTGT